GTTGATGTTGCTGTTTTCTTTCGTCCTCTTCCTTGACGTCGGGCTACGCTACCAATATCACGGTAACGAGCGATGGTACGAGACACAAAAGAATTATTTACATTTAAATGCCGGCGTGCTCTAAGGATAGCCACTTGTGGTTTTGCAGCCAAATATAACGAAATCACACTATCACGCTTGAATTCCATCACATATAACTTTGTTTCTGGAAAATTCTCACCAAAATGCTTTTGTACGCTTGTAAACAATATAATGAGCTGTCACTGGAATGATTTTAACAGCTGTCGGACGAGTGGCTTAGAAATTACAGCAGTCTGAAGTTGGTTGCAGTTTTCTCATCTCACCCTGTATATTCTTTAAAAGTCATGGATTTGAGCTTAGGTGGCTCTTAAAGAAATTCCACGACTATTGCATGGCTGATCGATTATAGCTTCACATAATATTCCTAATAGTTCACAAATAAAGCCTAAAAGATATTATAAAAAAACCGCTTAAATTAAGGCTTGAAAAAATGCTGATCGATTACAGCTTGAGATGATATTGCTAAAAATCCACAACTAAAGCCTGAAAAATATTCTTTAAAACCCCGCTTACAACTTGACAATTATTCTTAAAATTTCCATAATTAAGACATGAATAAATATTCTCCTATAGTTCTCGAAAATTATGTTATTTCCCACAACAAATCTATTAGACGTCCGTTATCATTCAAATTTCAATTAGGAAGTTCTACTCCGTGTAATTTTTAAATGGGTATAATTTTCAAAACATGATTCTGAATAAATTAAATTTTCAATGACTTCCGAATGGACAACTTAATCAAATGGTAAACAAATCCAATACTTCTGACATCGAATCGGAAATTAGAACTTAAAATTGAGCTGTACTCATATTTCAATTTAATTTATTCCAGAAAAAATGTAGAAGTAACACTGTTCTGATAAATTTTCCTGGAATTCTCGGGACCCTGTTAAATGCCTAACCTCCCTGTAGAGTATTCCTTAAATGAAGTCATACACATCCAAGAGAAGTTGGCAGGCAGATCATTTGCATTTAAGCCAATTATAACCATAACGACAATTGTTCAAAACTCACATCAAAAAGAGTTTACTTTAGTTACTTTGGAAGGAAAACATCAAATGTACATTAGGAGATTTGTGTAAACAGTTTACATTGTGGCAACGTCAACGCCGTTGGAGTGTTTGGTTTATTGCCTGGGCCAGCTGATATCTTGAACCAATTATCGTTACATGTCAACTATGTTTGGGTTTATTTACTTTTGCTGTGTGAGATAGTTGAAATACACCAAAAACCCACAATTTTAATGGAGATATGAGGGGTTAAAATTTTATGAAAATATGACTGAAAGAAATATGTGTAAGTACAACCCATACAAAATCATTGCAACAACATTTTGAAAGGTTATCAAAAGAATAATCGTTGATGTTTAAGAATTAAGAAAAAAAAACAACTAAAAATAATCATGATTTTCAAACATATTTTTTACAGAAATTCAGATCAATAATTGTGGCAATTTTAACGTTTTAAATATGTTAGTTATCTTAGCGGATTTTTATAACATCCACCAAAAATTAAGTGTATAATGTCATTTGAGACTTAAAAATATACATTCGTGACCAGTTAAAATTCTATACAATTTGGACATGACCTTTCCCATGTAACGGCAACATCCAGCTTTCGGTATGATGTAGTTTTTTTTATCAATTTCCAACATTTTGGATTCTTTTTGGCTTGATTTTTTACTCGCAAAAAATATTCAATGTAGGTTCACTTTAGCCTCCATATAATGATAGCCTCCGTATAATGGTACCTCTTGATTTTAGTTCGAAAGAAGATGGTGTGATCGCCTAGAGAAAAAAATACACATACATTGAAATACAATGACGGTGTGACAAAAACTAAAAGGGTACTCGGCAAGAATAGAACTTTGCTCCCACTCAAAAATGAGAGAAATAGGCTCAATCCCATTCGAGCGACACCGAAAAATTTAGTTTGCTCGATTATTAGTCTGCTTCCAGGAGCGCTCCTACTCGAATTTGAGTGACTTTCACTCCTTGTACAAATTTAAGAAGATTTTCGGTGGTCTGGCCCTAAGTCAAGTTTGCACATGGTGAGGGTGTTAAAAGTTTAGTCCGGGCTAACCTACCATGGTTTTTACTTGTTTTCAAAATATCTTTTAGGTAATCTTTTAAATATTTTAGTAGCTATAATTGTAGACTCTCAAAAAAGCAATCTTTATTTTTTTTTTTTAAATAATTTTTTGGAGTTTTCAAGTGGAGAAAGATGTAAATGTTTATAAGTGCGGTTGTAAGATTTAGAAGACTTTCTAAAAGAATTTTAGTTTTATTTAATTCTTTGGTTCCTCTTCTATTTAGCTTACGACCTCGTCAATTGGGTGAAAAATGTTTTTTGTCATAGAAGTTATTTTTAAAATAACTTCTGGGGAGAATATCCCACACAAAAAACGAGGGAACTGATGAGGATTGGTGGCTCTTTCCGAAACCTAGGTTTACCCCCTGGTAAACATTACCATCGTTCTCCACTAATAAACAAACGTTGTTTTTATAAAAACGACAAAAAAAGGGGATAAAGCCTGACCATTTTTGCAACAACAAAATACTACGGTATCCCGAACAAACAAGCCAACACTGTTCTAATAATTTCTTTTAATAATTTTTAAGAACCTCAAAAAGTTATAATCACCTATTTTTTTGAATTTATTATGGTAATATTTTAAAAAATACTTTTCAATAACTCTCAAAACTATGATCGTGAATTTTTTTTATCGTGGACCTTTTAGAAATATTTTTTAAAAATGTTCGCTAGATTTTTAACGTTAACTTTGTAATACATATTTTTATAGTTTTATTGCAACATTTTTTTTTTAATTTTAAAAAATTATTTGCATTTTTATTTTTTAAAGAATTTTTGAACATTTTATTTTAGTTTTTTGGAATCATTTTTCGGATTTATAAACAAAGTATTTTTAGGAATTTATTATGAGGAATTTAATAAAAATATATTGACAAGGATCGGAGATTTTTTTTATATTTTTAAATAATGTTGGAAATAAATTTATTGCGAACTTATATATTTTTAAGCATGTTGGCTAATTTTCATAGTTCACTTTTATAAAAGATTTTTTTGGGAATATTTTATCCTGGATATTTAAAGATTTTATTGTTTTTTTTTTTCTGGTGGTATATTAAACACTTGTATTTTAGAATTTTTGGGAATTGTTTATAGTGATTTTTATAACCGCTTGCTTTGGTATTTTTTACTGCCAACCTTGGTTTCCAAAATACTCTAGACACAATAATCACACGGATTGGTATCCGGGATTTTAGTGGCCATTGTGCGCTGGAAATGATGCGAGGAACCTCATTTTGTAACCATTCTTGTCTGGCGCGTGCTGAGTGCGATGGTGCTGAGTCCTGTTGGAATGTCCAAGGTCTGCAGCCAAAATATTTGCGTGCCCAAGGCTTTAATACACCCTCCAGAATATTTTCTTTGGCAAGTAAACACGATTACTTTGTCTGTTTACAAATTGCTGGTCAACGAATGTTTTCTCATCGGAGAAAACCAAATTAGGCAGTTCCACCACTTTCGGCCAAGCTAAGCAACTCTTTAGCTCTTTTGAGTCTATTTTCTTTCTGTTGCGGTGTAAATTCTTGCACTTTTTGAATTTCAATGGCTTTACCCCGAGCTCATTTTATTTGCCGAATGGGATATTGCGATATGTTCAGCTCATGAGCCATTTTTCGACAACTGCGTCGCGGGTTTCGATCAAGTTGCTTCTTTACTTTTCGAACCATTTTTGCTGATGTTGCTGTTTTCTTTCCGTCCACTTCCTTGACGTCGGGCTACGCTAAAAATTTATTCACATTTAAATGCTGGAGTGCTCTAACGATAGCCACTTGTGGTTTTCCAGCCAAATATAAAGAAATCACTATCACGCTTGAATTTCATCACGAATAACTTTTTTTCTGGAAAATTCTCACCAAGATGCTTTTGTACGTTAATGAACAATATTATGCCACTGAAAAAATTTTAACAGCTGTCGGACGAGTGGCTTAGAAATGGCAGCAGTCTGAAGTTGGTTGCAGTTTTTTCATCTCACCCTGTATATTTATCAAAACTTATGAAAATACCTATCCAACAAGTGGGCATATGATGGTGTTATTTGAAACGGTACGGGAGATATATGAAAAATAAAGATTTTTTGGACCCGGATCAAAAGTCGGAAGAGTCACCATATTTTCACGAAATATAAGACAACTTTTAGTTAATACTATTATCTTTCCAAAATGCTACAATATGTGTTATTACCTCTCCTAGGTACAGAGGTACATCGAACCAAGATTTATCTAAATACAATCATGTGACCTCTTGTTGGATAGATATTTTCATTAGCCTTCAATTCAAAATCCACATCGGTTTTGTAGATTCAGATCTAACCCGGGCTTTTAACCGGACTTTCGGATCAAATATCCGGGTACACTTGTCCGTCCTCCAAGAAAAAATACTATCCCGGAATGAGGGTGCAAATATCTAACGCTGGAAAAAATTTTATTTTTATTCTAAAAAAATGAGAGTTTTTACTAAACTAGAGTTGCACCAATTAAACAATTTTTATAAAAATAAAGAAATTTTCCAAAAAATTATTATATATATTTTTTTAAATTTTTTTAAAGATATCACAGAAGTTTTAGGAGATAATTTGTAAATCAGTCTTTTTACTGCGTTATATGTATGTTTTTTTAACAAAAAATATGAATTAGTAATTTTATTCTGAAATATATTTAAAAAAAATGTTTCGAAATCATCCCTATAGATATTCCCATGACTCTATACTGTTGTATTAAAAAAAACTTGTCTCTAAAATATCTTTTCCTTTTTAATTCTTTTATTTTCATTTTTCTGCCAACATTTCGTGAAACTAATTCCTCCTTTACCATGTTTTCCCATTTTCTTTCCAGGTTGTCCACTCACGACAAGTTCACACTGCTTGAAATGCAATCGCGAGGGTTGCATCAAGTGCACCTTTTACCTGGTCACCGATACGCGCCAATGTGTGGAGCGTTGTCCATCTGGCTATGTTGATCAATGGTCGGCGCACACAGAGTTCATGGGTCGGGTGTGTGTACCCATTGGCTATTCCGGTGCACTGATGGCTGCATTGGCCGGTATGTTTGGCGGTTTCCTAGTCTGTCTCTCCATCCTCGCTGTGGCTGTGATGCTGGTGAAACGTCGTCGTCGCCGCAAGGCCATCAAACAGAAATTGATAAATGAAAATACCATGGATCGTTCGGATTTTTTGCGTCAATTGAATGATATGCGCCCCAATGCCGAGTATTTCTTGGCCATGTTGAATGATACAAGGCGTCAGATACGTAAGCTCTATTTGGCGGGAGATGTGGCGGCAGCCAATTCGTACAGACCGATTGTGCGAGATTTGGCTCGAATTTTGATTTTACTTAATCGACCAATAGAATTGATACCAGCTGCGCCGCATGACTGGAATCGTTTGTATACATGGTCTGAGCAGGTGCTCGAGCGGTATAGGCCTCAGGTAGGACAGTTGATTGATTTCTTTCAAAATTCGAATGGCGTGGATGTGGATGAGTTTGATGCCACCTCGGTGTATAGGCAAAAAGTGGGTGGTGGAGGGTTCTATAAACAAAGTGCCACCCTGCAATCTTCGTCAAATTTAACAGCCGGCAAGGGGGGAGGAAATGGCAGCAAAACGCAAAAAATGCATTTATTCGGCTCCCTCATTAGCCTGCACGAGTTTGAGGAGCCCCGCCCCTCCGATCCCTTTGGCAGTAGCTTTAATACCCTCAAAAGTGGTAATCTCATATCCGATCTCAATGCTAGTTCATTGTGGCTGGAGGATGAGTTCTATAAATTAGGCTTTCGACCGCAAGATGAAATAACGACTGAACTTTAGAGTAGCAGCAACTCATTAGCACCAGCATCTTTGCGAAGGTATTTTTAAAGTGTATTTTTTGTTATCATTTTTTTTTTTTTTTTGTTAAATCAAAAATAAAATTCAAAACTTTATTTTTCTCTTTTTTAAAAAAAAAATAAGTTTTCGTTGTAAACTGTGAATATGTTTTTTAGTTTAATTATTATTATTATTACATTTTTTTGTACTTGTATTTGATCTTAATTTATATGTAAATCTGGAAGTATTATTGTTAATCAAGTCGGTCCAAAATAATGTCCAAACTCAAAATGAATACACACACACAAACAAAAAAGTGCTCAAATGAATAAAACAAAGAACAAGAAAACAAAACGAATAAAAATGTAAATAAAACAAGAAATTATGTTTAATTATTTTTTAAGCAACTAAATAATGAATTAAAATTGGAGAGTTCTGAAAAAAAACATTTTCTCCAAAAAAAAATAAATCTCCCAACATTTTTTTGTCAATAGATTAAATTTATCCTCAGTAGCTGAAGAGAAGTTTTTCTGTGGAAAAAACTCTCCTCAGTTGCTGAAGATAATAGAAAAAAATTCACCTCAGCTCAGAAAAACCCATCCTCAGTAGCTGAGGAGAATTTTTTCTATAGCAAAAACACATCCTCTTTTTTTCTACAGAAAAAACCCATCCTTAGTGGATGAGCATAATTTTTTCCATAGAAAAAAACCCATTCTCAGTGGATGAGGAGAATTTTTTCTATAGAAAAAACCCAACCTCAGTAGCTGAGGAGAATTTTTTCTATAGAAAAAACCCAACCTCAGTAGCCCAACCTCAAAAATCCATTCTCAGTGGCTGCGGAGAATTTTTTTTATAGAAAAATCCCATCCTCAGTGGCTGCGGAGAATTTTTTTTATAGAAAAATCCCATCCTCAGTAGCTGAGGAGAATTTTTTCTATAGAAAAAACCCATCCTCAGTAGCTGAGGAGAATTTTTTCTATAGAAAAAACCCATCCTCAGTAGCTGAGCAGAATTTTTTCTATAGAAAAAACCCATCCTCAGTGGCTGAGGAGAATTTTTTCTATAGAAAAAACCCATCCTCAGTGGTTGAGGAGAATTTTTTCTATAGAAAAAAACCATCCTCGGCATCTGAGGAGAATTTTTTCTATAGAAAAAAACCATCCTCGGCATCTGAGGAGAATTTTTTCTATAGAAAAAACCATCCTCAGCATCCGAGGAGAATTTTTTCTATAGAAAAAAACCCATCCTCAGAAGGTGAGGAGAAGTTTTTCAAAAGAAAAAAATTCACCTCAGTATAGAAAAAAATCCTTCCGCTAGAAAAACTTCCCCTCAGCTACTGAGGTGAGTTTTTTTTTCTATAAAAAACTTCCCCACAGCTACTGAGGCGAGTTTTTTTTATAGAAAAACTTCCCCAACTACTAAGGTGAATTTTTTCTATAAAAAAACTTCCCCTCAGCTTCTGAGATTAATTTTTTTCTACTGAGGTAATTTTTTTCTATAGAAAAAAAATTACCTCAGTATAAAAAATTATCCGCAGTAAATGAGGATATTTTTTTCTATAGAAAAAAGGAAAAAATGAGGAAAAATTCTCCTCAGCTTCTGGGTTGAGTTTTTTCTATGTTTTTTTTTTTATTGGAAAAAAGTGTTTTTAGCCAAAAATGCGTATTTTTATTTCATAATTCTTCTCTAAGCAAAAACGAAAACTACTTTGTAATATAAAAATCTATAACCACTATTTACCATTCTCTTTATATGAATGTTTAACTCCATGCAATGTCCAGTAAATAAAGTGCCTTCCACACCTACAACCTAACCTATGACGCCGTATTTTCTCAAAACAAAAAAGTGTTAATCTCCACTACGCCATGGAAATCATGCGTATTATTTTCAGTTAAATGTACCCTTCCCAATCTTGAGTTTTTTCTTTAAGGTCTTCCTGAAAACACTAAAGCATATATTTATTTAAGTTATTGTCTTCCACCCCTTTGATTTTTAATTTTTAACAAAAAAAACATTCCATTTGGATTAAAAAAAACTGTGTTTATGTTTCCATTTCGAATATATATTGTTAAAGCGTCTTTTTCTGTCTTTCGTTAATTTTTTGTTTTTTAATTTTGTTAAACTAGTCACAAAGAATATTGAACACAAACACAAAAACGCGTTGCAAAAAATAATCAAAATTACAATTTTAAGTTAAATACCCATATATATTTTGTGTATAGAATTATTGAAGAAAAAATCATACATTTCTGTATATCTTCTCCTCTTGTATATTTTTTAAACTTATAGAAAAATAAGTGCGATTTTGTCGATATTTAGTTTAGCAATATAGTATATAATAAAACAACAACAAATAAAATTTAAATAAAATTAAATTAAAAATCCGAAAAATGTACACCTTTATTTTTTGTTTTTATTTTTCAAGGATGTTAAGGGTAAGTATTGGGAGGATATATTTTAAGAATGTGTTTAAAGGAAATTACAGTTTAATAATTGTGGAATTTTGGGGTCAAGCTGCATCAGATCTATCTTCTTGGATAGTCTATGATTACTTTATTTTGAAGAATGTTCTTTTCAAAAGCTGCAAGCACGATTTTAAGTGTTGGGGGATAAAGATATTTTGGTGGAACTAAAATCGCTTTTCTTTGTATTTTTCAAACACATTATGCCTACAATTTTCGATTCCTTAGAAAAGAAATTTTTTCCAATGACCTGCAGAGTTATAATCATAGGGTTCTAAAATATTTTTCTAATTCCAACAGCTCAAAAACCATGTATTACCTTGTCTCTCCATTAGGAGGTAATCATCTTTTTGCCATACAAAATCCAAAGCATACTTTCAGGCACCACATAGAAATGTGTTAAATGACACCAATTTACAACACTGGTAGTGGTATCATTTCAGCGCCATCTCTTGACACACATGATTCATTTTGAGCAAATATTTTTTCACACCCTAGCATTTTGCTTTTTTCCTGAGGCCAAATCAGTGGAATTTTTGAATACCAAGGAAATTTAAATATTTTATATAGGAAAATTAACATCGTTATTTGATCTGATGATATGGTCCATATAACCCAAATCGTAGTCGGCAAGTTCCACCTTTTCTTTTGAAATTTTCGGATTAAGATTCCTTGTAGTAATTCCATTTTAGGGATATAGCGTCTCCGCAATTGAGTCTCCAAAGGGTTGTTTTTTTTCAAAAGACAGGATGAGATAAAAAAAAACTGCAACAAAGTCAAACGCCATAATTTTTATTTTTTTTTAATTTTATCGAATGAAAGCAAAAAATGTCTGAAATAGCATCAAATTTTAAAATAATTTTAGATTTGTTCGAATTGGTCACATTTGGCACGAATTATGGCCTTTAAACGGCCCATGAAACCTTCACATGCTGTCCGAATGTTGCTCTGCGGTATTGGACGCATTCCCGGCGAAGCACTTGATTGAGGTGATCGACACCAGCTTTGCTTTCCAAAATACTCCAGACAAAATATTTCTGCTGATGTTGCTGTTTTCTTCCGTCCATTTCCTTGACGTCGAGCTACGCTACCAGTATCACGAGCGATGGCACGAGACACAAACGATTTATTCACATTTAAATGCGGGAGTGCTCTAACGATAGCCACTTGTGGTTTTCCTGCCAAATATAAAGAAATCACACTATCACGCTTGAATTCCATCACGAATAACTTTTTTTCTGGAACATTCTCACCAAAATGCTTTTGTACTTTTGTAAACAATATAGTGAGCTGTCAGTGGAAAGATTTTAAAAACTTTCGGACGAGTGGCTAGAAATGACTGCAGTCTGAATTTGATTCCAGTTTTTTCATCCTACCCTATATGTTTAAAAACCGCCTTTAAATGGCGTCGTAGCAGGTAAATATATTCTACAAAATTTATTTGTCATAAAATTCCACAGTAGTTTCAAGAAGACGCAAAAATTCTAAATTTTGCCTTAAACCCAGAAAACACCTTTTTGGGGTTAGAGTCGTACTTTATTTGAGATTTTGTAAAATGCTCCAACAAGGTATCGTTTTTAAGGGGGATGACGTTAAAGACAGAAATATTATTTATAAAATTCGCTATAAGTCACCAAAGAAAACAGACCTCTGTTTTTCATTATATATCAAAAAATATCTTCATCAATTTTGGCAAAAAAAACGCGAAAATTTTTCTTAATTTTTGATTAATTTTTGCCTCGTTCGTTTTTTCTAATTTATGCATGGAAATAACATGAAATTTCGATTTAGGCTGAAACTGTCAGAAGACGATTTATTCTGCACAAAATTTCACAAACAATTTCAGAATAAACCCTATATCCAGGCACAATGGCTTTTAAGAAAATAATATAATTTATGCATTTCCAGTAAAACAAATGGTGTTTAGTTGTTTTTACTGTTAATTTAGAACGTTTCTATTCTAATTATTAGAATTTATAGGCAAAAATATTGCATATTTTATATGAAATCAGAATTATTTCAAAAGGCCTGTCGAAAAAACCCTAAAAAATGAACATAATAAAAAATATTGGCCCCCACGAATCATGTGCGACAATAGATGGCTCTATAATCAATGTTTAGCCAGTGTTGTAAAACGAAGCTCTTTTGCACATGTCGTTGCACAGTCGCCTGGAAATATGCTTTACTTTTTGCTGATTTACATTTAAATTCTTTACACTATTTTACGAACAAATATAAACGAATGATTTAAGTTCAAAAAAAAAAATACACAGTATTGTGATGAAAATCAAATCGATTCCAAATGTAGTATTTAAAGAAAATAGTTAAAATTTAAATACCATTGAGTTTGAAGCATTTCACTTGAATATTGAGTATTTTATGAAGTATTAATTATTAGGTTTTGTTTTCTTTTATATTTACATACATTCCTGTACTACCCAAAGGGCCGATTTTAAATACGGCATCGCTTAGGTTTCCATTCAACATTTACTTTTTTATATAGAAAAATATTTATTCCTTAAAAAACCTTTCGATTTAATAACAAATCGCATTTGTTGTTACAACAATATTCAATTCTTAACAATATTAGTTAGCTTTCTTTTTTTTTTGTTTCCTTCAATTTGTTTGTATACACATAGTTTGTTTGTATGTGAAACTAAAAGCGATATAACAAAATGGTTGCACAATTTCAATGAATTAATAATGAAAAAAGAACTTAAAACTAAACTTAAGAAAAAATAAAGAGTTAAACAATAGTATGTGGTGTAAGTAATTAACAAAATGTTTCAAAATGACAAAATGAAATAAAAATATATACTCAATGATTATTTTTTTAATTAAACACAATTAGAATTAATGTAGACAAAAGAAAAATAAATGTTAATCGGATTGTATATCCGGACAATCCTCAATAATGTGCTCCTCCAGCAGCGTGAACAATGGTTCTTCTTTCACCTTGACCCATGGTCATTCTTCGTCGGTTTTTGTGTCCATTTTCTCCAGATAAACAGATTCATCCACAAACGACTTTTCATTGACCAATGCCGATAACTCTGCCGCTGAATAGCCAATAAGTAGCTTCAGGTCACAGTCGAATTTATAGGCAAAACGTTTACCCGACACCTTGGATATCATATCTCCATCATAGTAATAACGTAAGGCTCGTGACAGTTTTTCATAATTCATTGCTGGTTTGTTTTTCTTTTCGCCCCACAGACGGGCAACTTTTTCGGGATCGGTTAGTTTAAATTCACCATCATTGCCAACCCATTGAATGATATCGACATGTTCACGATCGGTTAGTATTTCTAAAAGGAACTGCCATAATTGTACTTGGCCATTATTGCCCGTTCCTACGCCATATGAAGTGTGAACGAGGCCAGTAGCTACCAGACTATTGGGGGCAATATTTAGTTCGCTCAAAGCAGCTGCTGGGGAATCAGAATAAAACCCATTAATTATATTCAGACGAAAGAGTAGGGATCAATACTTACTTTCCTTTTTCAAAGTATGGAATGTTTTGCGCATAATTTTCGGCTCCCTGGTTAGTGTTGTTGGCAAGACGGCACTGTTGGACTGCCGGGGTTCAGGTGCAGCCAGTGCTGTCTCAGCTGCCTTATGTACCACGGATACAAATTTACATTCCTTGAGCAATTGTATATGTGTCCAAAAGACATTGCCCGGATCTGTGGGTATCTTCTTGCGAAATTCTTCATGTGACAGTGAACACAATTGTCGACCAGAAATTGACCAATCGCTGATATGGGCATCGGCCTGAAATATGTAAGGAAAAAAGGAAATATGAAGTAATAATTGAGACTCATAGGGATTTTAGTAGCTAATTTGGTAATGTATAAAAAATTATGCCAAATGGCTTTTAATAAGATAGACTAAGAAACCATCAAGGAAAATATGACAAAGAGACTAAGTCGGATGCATAAAAAAACTACACAACTCAGGTGTTTGAGATGTAAGCTATTAGTTTGAACTTCATACATAAACTCGTCCAATACTAGATATGAAAAAACTGCATCCAACTTCAGACTGTTGTCGTTTCTAAGCCAGCTGTTAAATTTATTCCATTGGCAGGTCATAACATTGTTTACAAGCTACTCCAGCATTTAAATGTGAATAAATCTTTTATGTCTCGTACCAACGCTCGTTACCGTGATACTGGCAGCGTAGCCCGACATCAAGGAAGAGGACGGAAGAAAACAGCAACATCAATAGAAATGTTTCGAAAAGTAAAGAAGCGACTTGATCGAGACCCGTGTCGCAGTGGCCGAAAAATGGCTAGTGAGCTGAACATAGTGCAATATTCCATTAGGTAAAGCCATTGAAATTCCAAAAAGTGCAAGAACTTACACCGCAACAGATAGAAAATAGACTCAATTGAGTTAAAGAGTTGCTTCGCTTGGCCGAAAGTGGTGAACTGCCAAATTTGGTTTTCTCCGATGAGAAAACATTCGTTGTCCAGCAGTTTGTAAACAAACAAATTTATCGTGTTTACTTGCCAAAGAGGTCAGCTGAAAATGTGCACTTTCGGTTGGCCACCAGAACTCAAGCGCTGATGGTGTGGGCCGCCATAACAGCCGATGGTCGCTCTCCGAATATTACCGCGAAAATATTCTGAAGGTGCACCATCGCACTCAGCACGCGCCACCCAAGAATGGTTACAAAATGAGGTTCCTCGCTTTATTTCCAGCGAACAATGGCCATCAAAATGTGCGGATACCAATCCTGTATGGAGTATTTTGGAAAGCCTGGTTGGCACTAAAAAATACCAAAGTGTCGATCACCTCAAGCAAGCGCTTCCCGGGAATGGGCCAAAATACCGCAGACCAATAATCGGACAGTGTGTGACGGTTTCATTGGCCGTTTGAAGGCCATAATTCGTGCCAAAGTTGACCAATTCAAACAAATCTAAACTTATTCTAAATTTTGATACTATTTCCTAATTTTTTTGATTTCATTCAATAAAATTTTAAAAAATGTAAAAATTATGGCGATTGACTTTGTTGCAGTTTCTTTTATCTCACCCTATAAACCTTTGGGGGCTGATAACGATTTTATTATAGCGATCTCCTGCCATCTCAAAGTATAGGGTCATCTTTGGATATAAGAATAATTTATCTCATTTTTAACGAAGGATACATAATTCGATTGTTTGTGTAGAGGACCTGTAAAAGGTCTTTTAGCAATTGGACACCTTCAGAATCCTCTTCACCTTAAAAAGGCTTCAAAAGAGGTAAAAAAGAATCTCTCAATTGTCGTGTATTTAGCAAAAACTTGAAAAGTATTTATAATTTAGGAAAAAGACCATCTTACTAAAGGTCTACAGTCTAAGGAAGCACTCCACAATATCTTCTGATTGTATAAATTATTAAATACAGAATTATTAATAGAACGTCGTTAGAACATTTTCTTTGTTACATTACAAAATGTCTTTTTCTTTTATATATGTCTTTATACAAATGTCTTTTTCTTTTTTCCATTTACGTATGTTACCAGTTAAATGTCTTCTATTTATAAAATACATGTAGATGGCCTTATGTCTGAGGAGAACATGTAAAAGGTATTTCTGATACATAAAATCTGAATCAAAAAATATCTACACAATAATTTCGACCAGAACGACGTCTGTAACATTTGGATATTCTATCCATCTATAAATATCATAATTGGGTTGTACTATACACTAGAACCGCAATAGATGTCCTATCTGTAGAGGTTCTAGGCTTGTTCAAAATCTACCATTCGCGAAACATTTGTGGAAGATTGTTCTTCCCAGAAGGCCAGTATGTTACTCACCAATTGAAATTCTCGCATTGCCCATTGGAACCAGTATTTCACTTGAGGCACTGTCCATTCATTCGGATCATCTGGTATTTTAAGTCGCGTCTGTTCACGGCGAAATTTGCTATCTAACACCCAGTTAAGACACGGTTTATCCTTCAATTTCGATACTGCCGACTCATTTAGCTCTGTAAGTTCACGTTTAATTTTCTTCGGCTTTGTTTCCTCCTCAGTGTCGTCATGGGATTCACTGGTGCGCAAGGGTGCTTCATCATCGGTGGAGACGTCACTTTTAAATGCTTCCTCAGCGGCAAGGGCAGCTGAGGGGAAAATATTTTCTTTAGAATTTTTAAATGTAAAATAATATTCAGTATTACATACCTAATGCATCCTCGGTGGGTTTTAAAACATCCAATATGTTGATGCGTTTAACAATGTATTTGATTTCAACATTAATCTGTACCAAACCTTCTCCTTTGACACATTGATCGACAAGGTTTTTGTGGGGTTCCAACTGGAAAGAAAACAGTTATTAGGAATATGAACAAAAGTTGTTTGTCATTAAAGAAGTACTAAAAGAGGAGATATTGAGCAGGGAAAGGCTCCAAGTTCTAAACGTGTTATGTAAAGGATTTAAGAGCAGCCTTGTACATTTTAAGGTCAATCAATTACAATAAAATGTCTCCGCCTTAAGACCTTTAACATGTTGGTATTTAATCTTATTGGAAAACTTTAAGGGCCTTACTCAAACTAATTTATACATCTCTAAGGTAAATTAGAATATACGTAAATTTCTACTGTAAATTAAAATATTTTTAATATGTACTTTCCGCCTATACTAAGAGTCTTCAATGTAACTCAAGAGGTTAGTTTTTTTCCAGTGGCATCTCTAGGATCCAAACGCAAAACCATAGATAGTCCTTGTTATGCTGATCACAATCACAGGTGTTCCGGGAAACAAATTTTCCTTTTCTTGATATTTTGAAATAATCTGGTTTATTTGTTGAAACATTCTTTTATGGACTCCTTTAATTGGAATGCTCTCAATGTCACCTTTACAAATGTATGTATATTGCAAGTAAAGCATAATTGTTATCGCCATAACATGAACTGCCTATGGTTAAATGCTAGTTAATCAATAGGTGGCCCACAGTCTATGCTCTTTTAAGAAATCTGCACCATGGACGAAAAGTGCTTCTTTGATATGAACGTCATTAAATTCCCTTACCTCTTGGGCATCTTGTAGCCAAAATTCATAGCCTTGCAGGCTAAGGCCAACTTTCTTTTCCAGCAGTTTTCTGAAAGGAAACAAAAATCATTAAATAAAAAAGTAAATTCCTTTACACTTCCACTTACTGTAGCGTTCTCAGTGGCTCCCTGATATCCATATGCATGATAATCTCATTGTCTGAACCCGCATTGGAATTGCTATCATCCTGATGGGACATATACAAATCGCTTTGCTGAAACAGCTCATTGGCCATCATCCCCTCTGGAAAAGAAAATTCATATATTTAAATTTAGAAATACACTTCCTGTTTAGATTTCCACCAAATTTGATTGACGATCATGGCATATCCGCCACAAGATCTGACAAGAATACCCACCTAAATCACCACCACTTCCCAATCGCTGTATTAATTCCTCTGAGAGTTGTGATAAATCGTTTGTTTCCATTTTCGGTTTTGTACTGATAATTGTTTATTAAAACAATAATATTATATTATTTATTAAAAATGTTTTGTTTCCTCGAATATGATAGGGATATGTAGGTCGACTTCCGATTAATCGACTTTGAGTACTCAAAGTGCTGAAACTTGACTATGGACTTGGGTGAAAACCGAGTACCCGACAATTCATAGTCGATTGTTCAACTTATGCTATGTTCTCAGTGCCCGTTCATACGGCACAATTCGTAATTCATAGCAACATCATAATTCCTTTTATGAATTTTTTGGTTTGTTGAATTTTATAGGAATTTGTAAAAAAGTACATGAAATTAGCATTAATAATAATAGGAGAAATTATTATTTTTTTTTCTTTAAAGACTTATTTTATTTTTCATTTAACAATTTTTATTCATGAACGATTTAAGACTTTGTCTTATTGGGCTTTTAGGTCATTCATGTTTTAAACTTTTTGTATAAATGTTGACATTTTTCATAATTTTTATGTTTTTGAAAACGGTCGGAGAGTCACTTGTCAAAAAAAAAAAAATCGATACAAAATTTTTGAAAATATTGCCTTTTTTCTTGCCAGTTTTCTGTCGAAATTCCAACTCGTGGACAAAAAGGGTACCTCGGATGAGAGAAGAAGCAAAATTTACCTTAGTTTGAATGCACATACGCCATTCAACATGAATGCCAATGTGGCATCTCAATTGTTCAAAGCTTAGAAGCATTGATATGTCAAAAAGATATTAATGTTTCTTTCAAAATAAGTAGATTTGTATATGTTTTCTTATACGATGCCAATCGGAGGTTGTTATGATATGCATTTTTAAAAATTTTTACAAATTTGAATAATTTTTCATTCAAAAATTTCAATTCCAAAATTGGTTTGACAGTTCATTGCCCCAGCATTTGTGTCGATGTGACTACTGTATTCTTTTACCATGGTAATAGCCATTCCTTCTGATATCTGGTACCAAATATCATTGTTGTGGTGTGCATATTGCGAATGAAAGGGACTTTAATATCAAATCGGATGAAACTTATACATGGGAGCTATAACTATCGGAGCTATAAAATCGGATGAAAGTTATATATGGGAGCTATAACTATATAAATTTGATGTACTTGCTATTAGGTTGAATTCGAATCGGATAAAACTTATACATGGGAGCTATAACTATCGGAGCTATAAAATCGGATGAAAGTTATATATGGGAGCTATAACTATATAAATTTGATGTACTTGCTATTAGGTTGAATTCGGTCGGAAGTGCCAAAAATTTTGGTGCACAAAAATCATGAAATCGTATAAAAATATATATGGGAGCTCTATCCAAATCTGAACCGACCTTGACAATATTTTAAACACTTATTATTAAGCTTTATATGATATGTGGTACCAAAGATTATTGTTGTGGAGTGCATATTACACATGTGAGGGAATTCAAACACAAAATCGAATGAAACGTATGTATAGTAGTTATAGCTATACCTGTACCGATTTTATCAAAATTGTATGCAATTGCTTCTAGACTAAATTGGACTTATACTAGCCATTTGGTGCGCATTAACATGAAACTGGTTAAGGGAACTATATCTAAATTTAAACCGATTCTCACCAATTTCAATATGGTTCGTCCTTGGGCCAAACAAATATTGTTTGGAAAACTTAATCTCAATCGGATTACAAATGTGCCCTGCATTTCGTCCACAAAAATAGATGGACAGACGAACTGTTTGTTATTCTTTGAAGATCCTCAAAAGTAACTATGGGTCTATCTCGCTTCCTTTTCCATGTTACAAACAAATGCACAAAGACATACTACCACTGTGTAGTGTATTTCGTCTAACAGAACCTTAACTCGCCGGAAAAAATCGTTAATTACTGAAATTATAAGCATTATAATTTTACCGATTTTTGCAGGTAACTTAAAAAACAGTTATTCAATCCTGATATTTTACATGATGACATCTTTCTTATACTATCATCGAAGTATCAATGTATTTCAATTAATACATGAAAACCATTTCAACTCAAAACTAAAAAATAAAATTTATTTAGAATATAACGACTTTATTTGAAATTGCAAAGATAAAAATCTTCCTAGAAGATTTTTAACTTTTTTAATTTCATATCCATAATTTATTTCCCCAATATTACATTTCTAACTAAATATTCTCCCTTTAAACTGATGTTTACCTTTTTTACCTTTCATTCACTTTAGCATCCTTTAAAACAAACAATACACCTGCAAATACTCAATGTCAATGTTAAAGTCAAAAATAACAACTCTTCTCTCGATCACTCCCCACTGTCAATGGCTCAGAAAATTTGCGTCACTCCGTTTAGTTCTCTCGTTGAGTTCAATCATTTCGGCCGTGTTGTGTGGTGCGCTCCACAAAATTCGCAAATAAAACGAAGAAAAACATAGAAAATATTCGGAAAAGTGTTAAAATGTTAAATAATATTACCAGGCATGTCACAGAAGTTTTACGAAATCGATTTATTTCACCTTTTCCAAATCGTTACGATTTGCTTTTGCTTCTTCAGCACTCGTACGATTTGACTAATCCGGAAAAAAAATCATTTCACATTTTTGAAATAAAAATATGGTAACTCCATGAAAAAAAAAGTCGTAAACAAATTATTGACAATTAAAAAAGGAGTTTAAATTGTTTTTTTATAATATAAACACCAAAAGTAAAAATGCCAGGGGCTTCAATGCTTGCGAGAAGACGAGATACCTGTTACAAATGAGGAAAATTCTGAAAACGACCAAAATATTGTGGACATCTACCCTGAAATAAATATGTACAACGTAGCCAAACGTATTAGAAATAATATTGCTAGTCAAATGAACTATTGCATTTTTTATTTCAATTCATTTAAATAATAAAAAAAAACATTTTATAAAACAAAAAACAGATTGTTTTTAGTCCATTGTGTAAAATAATGTAAAGTTAAGAACGAGTCGTATTTGCTTTTTCCTGTTCTATAGCATATTTAAGAGTTTCAAGTTCAACTATTTTGAGTTTCATTTCGTTCCGTTCACGCATTCTCTTTTGCATTTCAATATTATGTAACTGCTCTTCCACATACTTTTTTTCCAGGATGTTACAAAGTCTGTCCAACTTTTCAGTTTGTTTTTTCATTTCCTTACTGTTATCTTCTAGAATTTTACAAATTTTTTCCAAGTTTTGTAAATGAGAATTTTCCTCAACTAAAAGCGCATTTAGATCTTGCTTTGAGGGAGTTCTTGCCCGGGGTCTTTTTACTGCAGGCGTGGGTTTTGCTTTTGTTAGGCTGCCCGACACTTGTCTTATTGGTGTAGATGGCGGAGAACACGATAAGCTTTTATTTCTAAGTCGTTTTTGAATAGGTGTTCGCGAACGGTTTTCTTCCAATGTTGGTGTTCTTGGATCAATTGCCAATGTAGAAACATTTTTAAAAGCAGCTGGAATGCATGATCTTGGTCTATCTTTTTTATTTAAAATCGAAGTGGTCTGTTTTGAAGTTGAGGGTGAAAAATTAAGCTCTTCGTTTTCAGATTCACTTAAAACTAATTGACTTGATTTTCGAGTTCTTGGAATATGTGTAGATGATGACGAATCAAAGTTTTCTTTTTCAGAACAACTGAGGTCTAATTCACTTACAAAATCCGCAAAGCTTACTGCACCACCAACTCCATCGACACTTTTATACAATCCGCAAATTCTGATTAAACTGTTCTCGTGTTCATTGAAAACATATTGATTGATATCACCACCACCAGTTCCTCGCAAGTCCTTTTTATTATGGCACATCTTCGCCTTAACATTTCCTTTCCAATCTGACCAAACTTTCTTCCATTCTTTACAGGTTTTACTTGGTGGACCTGAACTATTCAGCAAAGCTGTCAATTCTGTCCATAGGGAATCAACAACAACCTTATCACCTTTTACATAGCCCCTGGCAATATCGTGATGTTTATCCATAAAATTGATAAAAATTTTGTCCTGTTTAACGTTTCGGTGTTTGCCCCTAAAGTATAAAATAAATTAAATAAACAGTTTTTGACGAAAATTTAGAAATATGTATGTAAATACTTACATTTTTGCCCGATTGACTGAAGCGCTCTGTCTCAAACCAAACAATTAATTGTTTTTTTGTTTTTCCCCTTTCTTGCTTTTTGGTCTGTCAGTTGTACATTTCTACACCTTCTTCTTCAACACATATGGCAATAATTCAACAATACAAGTCTGCCGTTCATTTCTGCATATTTTTTTGCGTTTTCATCATGGATTAGAAAAATAATAGATTTTTTGTAAAATAAATTCCAAAAACATGTTCATTCTAAGAGAATTTGGTTAATACAATATTTTCTGTTAAATGTATGTGTCTTCTGTTTATTTTTTACGTTAAAATCACTAAACATTTCAATTTCACCCTGCTTTTTGAAAGTGATATCAAAACGCAAAATTTTTGCGTTTTCCGTTTTTTAGAGAAGCTAAAACCGTTTTCGTTTTCACTCTTGAACGATTTTACATTCTGTGACATGCCTGTACATATTTTAGTTAATTTCATATAATTTGTTCGGAAAATAGTTGAAATTGCAACGAATTATCAACGTTTCTAAAATGAAGCGTGCTCTTGTAGAGATGTGTGTGTGTGTGTGCTCATAGCAAATCAAGTGTGTCCGTTTAGTGGTTTTGCAAGCTCTCTAAGAAAAAAGGCGCAATCTAAAATGGCAATGCCTGTGCTTTCGTGTATGTGTGTTCGTTTTGTTTTCGGTGTGCGGTCGCGTTCGGTTGCAATCATGTTAAAATCAACAAATGTGTTTGTGAAAAGTATAAAAGAGCTTGCTACAAAAATGAAGAAAATATTAATATCCGCTTCCATTGAATAGCTTTTGTATTGTATTTTTTAAAAGCTTTTTCGTTGATACCACAAATCTTTCGTGTCCGGTTCTTTTGTAAAAAGTCGATGTTGTGAAAGTGTGCGTGTTTATATAATGTTAAGATGCCTTTATAAAAATGTATAACAAAATTTCTACGCTATTTTTGCATAATGGAACAGGGTAAGGTTTATTATTATTAAATATTGCATTCAGCTTTGAAACCGATTTAGATGTTTAACTACACTCTGCAAGAAGATAATTGGGGACATATTTTTGACTGAAGTGTTTCATTTTGGAGTGCTTCAAAAACACAAATTGATTAAGGCATGAGGAAATAGCTTCATATCTTTAGACAAATTACTGAGAGGATATATATAGTTTTATATGTCGAAAAAAAAAAAAAAATAAAAATCAAAATTTTGCGAAAAATGCAAATTTTATACAGAGCGATTGGAGTACTCGATATTTCTCGGGGTATGATCTATAGATGTGAAACTATTGAACATGTTCAATTCATTCAGATATACATATGCTCATTAAAGAACTCTCTGTAATATTTGATCTTTCTAGGAATGGTTCTTAAAAAAAGAAACCATCCTTAACATTATATCCCAATAACAATACAAATGTCACTTTTTTAACCGATCAAAATTAGTAGGTACCACCGTAAAACCACTATGACTATGTCCGCTTCCTGCCAAACACACTTTTAAACAAGTTAAAAGGTATAAGTCGGTATTGCCGACTGTTGGCTACCCTCAGCCAAAGACCAATGTATACCCTATAGTTAGGACAGATGAATGTATTGAAAATTGTGGCACTTTGTGGATGATGTACCAGAAAGACATCGCAGATATATATCATCTTCACAACTGATCTTATGTTAGCAAAAACATTTGTGTGTGTGTGTGTGTGAAATTTTAAGAGAGTTGGATGCTTATTTCGCTTTCTTGAGCGTTTTGTTTTTCAAAACCTTGAACCCTATGTGGAAGAAAAAGTCCGATTTCTACAATCGTTATAACAGATCCTGTGTTGATGGAAATATTGAGATGCGCCAAGTCTCTTCAAATGTTGAGATGTACCAAGCCTCTTCTCTTCAAATTTCACACACAGAAACATTTTTCATAACACACGATCTGCTGTGAAGATGGAAAATATCTGACAAAAATATCCAGGCAGGATCACAATTTTCAATACTTTTATTAGTCATAACTTCTGAAACAAGTTAGTGATTCTTTACATCTAAATATTTCATTCAACCTGAAACCTTAAATGAATATGGAATTTGTGATTTCGCATAAAATTGGATATAAATGTTCGTTTTTCTTATACATACAAATATGTTTATCTGTATTAATAGGAGTATGAAAATTCGATACTTCGGTCGACTATGTCTGGTACTTCACGCGCATTTTAATATTTTCTAAAAATTAGCACATGTCTCTTAAATAAAGTCAAGGAACTAACCAATACAGTCCAAACCAGTATTTGCAGTATTTATATCATATCTATCTAGGTCCAATACGAAATGGACAATATTGGCCCATTCCTTCGGAACATACTCCATAGAGGGTCAAATATTTGAATAATCATAACAGAAGTCAAAATATACTTAAATAATCGAACATTGGCTGATAGTATACATCTGTAGGCACAACCGACTGATCCATTACGAACTTTAGATACGAAAATTGTCGAATAATGTCGCTAAAATTATTAAAATATCGAATATCGGGAGGTACCGTCAGATGGGGGCTACACGAAGACGTTGACCTGCATACGATATTTTTGTCACAGGTTGAAGAACCCTTTAAGTTCATCCAATACGAAATTTGAAACGATTCCGGTGAATAATGTTGCTGTAATCACAAAAATTGCGACTATCGGGAGGTACCGTTATATGGTGGTGGCTATACGAAGACGTGGAACTGCACAAACAAATTTTAATACCAAAAGTCCTGCAGACATAATTGCATTTCTGTAAAATTTTATTAATCTACTTCATTTCGTTCGGAAGCTAGAGTGATTTTCACAGACGGACGGACATCGCTAAATCGACATAGAACTTAATGCTGATCAAGAATATATATACTTTGTGGAGTCTAAAATGTATATTTTGAGGTGTTTCAAACGAAATAATATAACCTCCATACTATGGTGGAGGATATAAAAATATTCTTTTCGTAAATATAAATTCACAGCATTGAGCTTTGGCATTGGTTATCAGTTTCTAGAGAGTGTGAGGAAATCGAATACTTAGATAACTGTACAACTAGTCGTTACCAGGTGGCGTTGTTATAAAATGGTAAGAGTAGAACACTGAAAGTATACTCTACGTAGACCACTTCAAAATTAATCTTTGGACAGAGTAATTTTTTGAGCAATTTTGAATAATAATTAATCCCATAAAATATGAACATAGATCCGGATATGCTTTAAACTACGAAGCCCACGACCTAGTTCCCACTTTGCACGTAGTAATATATTATCAGTCCTTATTGATCCCCACAAAATCCAGGGATTTTCTCCAATTTAAAATATATTTCTACTAGATGAAGCTTGATAATGAGGGATATCTCCATCCAGTTCATATTTCATAAACGGTTAAAATTTTGAAAAATTTATTACCATTTTTTCTGCTATTTCACTGAAAAACTTCTTCGCCATACAATGCCGAAAAATTTGTCCAAGTGTGTATCCCTCATCATCCTTTCTTTCTGTTGAAATGACGATAGAGTCCATACTATTAATCTAGAGCTTTGAAACTTGGCACAAAGGTTAGTGTTAAATTCAGGCTAATTGGTGTAGGAATTGGGTTATATTGACCCACTTATATTGGTCCCTTATGTAACGGTACCTCCCGATTTTCTGTATTTAAAAGTTTCTGCCACAATTTCCAACCAAGTTAGCTGAAACTTCACAATTAGGGTTCTCGTTCCGTTCTCTCTTTGAAATAAAAAATCGATTCAGGACTACTAATTGCTATAGCCCCCATATAAAGGTACCTCTTGATTTTGGGTATTTTGAAGTTTTTTCCACGGTTTCAACCAAATTAGCTAAACATTGACAATTAGGGTTCTCGGTAGTACTGTTCTCTCCTTGCGAAAAAATTTCAAATAAGATTCACTAATTGATATAGCTCCCATGTAACAGTACTTCACAATTTTCGATATTTTGAATGTTCTGCCAAAATTTCCAACCATATTAGAAAAAATATGAGTTTCGCTATTTGGGATATTTTTTTATTTTAATTAAAACGAATTGATATTCTAAGTTAATATGTTGTAGTCTTTTCATTTTTTCATTGGTAAACATAGTGTCGGAGACCTTTTCTTTTTTATAAAGTTTTGATCAGTAGAGGGATTTTTTAAACTTTTTCTGTAAAAGATTTATGGACAGTATATGTTTTTAATACATTTTAAACTTCATATAAATTCTATAGCGAATTTTCGAAACTTAGACATGAAGAATTGCCTTTGTCTAGTTATGTATTGACTTGTATCCCTAGACTATCGTACAAGGGGGCATATATGCATTTGCCATAAATTCAAGTGTTATTCTATAAACATAAATTCCATTTAAGAATAAAATATTGAAATAAATTTAATCAACTTCCCGTTGCAATAATTTGGCATTTGTATAGCCATAAATAGATGCATATTAAGGAGCCAGCAAACAGATGTCTACATTGTTGGCCGACACATCCAAATTTGGTAAGCTTGTCAGACGCACAGCTATTCATTTTTAATTCATTCATAAATTTCACAAAATTATTTTTAAATCTCCGTTCTCTTGATTTGTATTCACAGCTTGCAGAAATTTTTATCATTAATTCATGACATCACTGGCAGCCAAGTGTTGATGACAGAGCGCAACAATTGTTAGAAATTTGGTTAGTTCCCCTTAAAAATGATTCATTGTGGGGCGTTATTCTGGTGAAATTTGAAATTAAATGATTTCTTTTGGTTTTATTAATAAACAAAGTAATAAAATTTATTAGAAATGAAATTGAGATATTGAAATTGAATCAATGGTAAAGATTGTAAATGAAAATTGGTCCCATTGGAAGAACTGTTGGAAATTTGCCATTGATAACCGGAGAGGAAATGTCAAAAGTGGGGCGGAGCCGACTATGACTATACCATTATGCGTATGTAGCAGTTAAAAAAAAAAAAAAAAAAACTTTTATATTGGGAATTTATTTGCAGTAGATCATACTAACTATGAACCTTATTTGAATGTGTATCTTGACTTTAGGGTAGTCACAATTTAGGAATTACAACAAATTTGACCGAGGTTTTTGTACCTCTAGTACTACATGACATTGTTGTATAGTGCATGATATGACTTCGATAAGAATTCTTTTAAAAAAATTTTATTGGAACAATAGACATACCGGTCCGAGTTTCACCAAATGGAAAAATTTGGTTGAATATGAAAAAATCTATCCAATTGTGGCCGATATTACTTATATGGTGGACAATAACCTTAAAATAGAATGAAGATGAATACATATATGGGAGCTATAGCTATATCCGAACCCATTTTCACCAATATTTGTTTTTCCTTCTGGGATAAATTTCGCCGGAAGTGGCAATTTTCAGTCCACTTGGGCTGATATTACCTATTTGGTGCACAATGAACCCGAAATCGGTTGAAGAT